CAAATCTTACAAAGAAGATTTTACAGTGCCTCAACCTCTCCTGGAAAGTATTTTCATAACTGGTGAAGAACTATCTATGCCAGATTTGTCTAGTTGTATGGGCTTTTTAATTTACAATAAATGCATAATGCTATACTTTTTAACTATTCAGTAAATATAGCCAGATCTGTAACAGATTACAGATTAAGTTATAAAAGGTTTGTTAAAAATAATATCTAAGAATCTCAGTATCTTGACTCTGGCAGTAATTTGCTTATATTAGTCATTCGAGTAGTAGGAAAAAGTTCCAAAAATATTTATTTGCATCAGATAGTTTACCTGTCCTCTCCCGATCTTAATATCTAACTTCAGACATGTTGGAAAACAGTACTTTTAAAAATCTCCCCTGATAGTATCTCAAGTCCCTTTGAAACTTGTGTCAACAGGCTCTGTACAGCCATAATTAAGTAGCCTGTCTTCTGGTTTGAGCTAAGTAAGTATTCCAGCTATTCCAACTATTGTATCAAATATTATAATATTTTATAGCAATTCTAGTAATTCTTATACAAAATTTGATTATTAATATCCCAAAATCTGAGAGTACCATCACCAAATTATGTGATATATCTGTATTTACACAGTCACACCATGAACAAATTGAAGTACTCTCAGAATAGACCCTTTTCAGTTTCCAGGGAGTAGAGTTCAAATGGAAGAAAGTTTTATATAATAATTTGGCTTACTTCTTTTGTTTACAGCCTTTCCTCTAAAGAGCTCAGAATGGCAATTTAACAACAATACTGAAGGAAAGAAAGTGACTTTCCAAAGGTGATGCTACCCCGTGAACTTTAAAGCTGGGAGGGGGAAATGGAACTTGGGTTCCCTGCTTTCTTGGCACTTGGATGACAGAGTCAAGATGCAGTGGAGATGGCAGAGCTTAAACACTGCAATAGAATATAGAAGGTGTTCCTTTAAACTGATCAGCTTAAACATGGTAGGGCTTTCTAGATTTAAAAAAATAACCCTGTGAACCTATGCATAGAAAAGGTTAGCCAGCAGTCCTTTAGGCAGCTTTACTTACTTTCCTGTTCCTTAGTTCTCCTAGTTCCTCAGCAGTATTTTATATAAAGGTCTGGATTCGTGCTTGCTAAATAGCAAAACAATGGGAAAGAGAGGCAAAAATGATGCCAGAGTATAGCCAACTTTGTTTTTAATTAGAGTATATATACTTCCAAACTGGATACACTAGAAATTGGCAATGCAACGTAAGATGCAAAGAAATATACCAGTTACTGTCAAAATGACCCTGTACAGCCTTATAATGCAAAAAAGCTTTATACAATACAAATTTCCATTAATGTACACAAACCTTGACAGTGTGATATTTGGATATGATACAGCAAGTTAAAAAGGAGAGGGGGAAGCGAGAAAAGTGCTGAAAGAAAGTAACCAAATTACTGGATGGAAAATGAGAAACCAGCCTATCTCAAAGAATGCACAGCGGGGAAAAGCAGATACAAAGTGAGTGTCTTTAAAGAATTCAACAGAAATGTGAAACAAGCAAAGGATATCTATAGAGAGCATTCCTTTCTTTAGTGTCAAACAGGAAACCAATTGTTGTATATGCAAGGGCCTTTATAAATACTGTATATTTTTTTCTTAAAAAAATAAAAAAACACCTCCAGATGCATTCTTTTTCTCACTCAGAAGTCATGTATAACTAACTTTCCAGAAATAATTCAGTGTCCAAAGTGCTAAATAAAGCTGCCCAATTACATTAAGCATAACTATGACAAATACAAAGGAAAATGGTTAAACCCAAGGCATTAAGTTGCTTACAGCATCATAATACTCTCATTCCTTGACGTTCCTATGTATATTGCACCATTGTGGTTTACAGAACATCTTCCTTTAACATTCCTATGCGTGTGTAGCTTACTTGCTGGCAAACTAATTAGTATTTTTGTTTTTAATAAGGTCTCTGCTTGATCGTTTGGAGAGTTGACCAGAAACATCTTGAATGTATTTAGTAAATCACAGTGATTGCTAACAGAATCAAAGTTCCAAAATTTATGGTATAAATGAACTCCCTTTTTATTTTTTTTAAAAACCCTACTTGTAAATAGCTTCCCAGTGGACAAGTCCCTCTTCTTCTTAAAATTCCTAGAAAAGGATGAAACTGAACCTGTTCTACTCAGTGGCAAGACTGCAGTCAAGTTTATGAATCAAGATTGCATCCAACCCCCCCCCCCCAACAGATAGATAGGAAATGCAGCCATTTGTGTGTCTGTCAATCTAGCTACAGCGGCATTCTGGAAAAGGGAAGTAGGTCATACCTGTTATATTATGCAAAACACCACCTTACTGCATGGAAACAGCTCACAGCAGCATCTGACCTAGGTAGGTCTACCGTGGCTGCTATTCCCTTTGGATGCTTTACTGTATAGCTGGGGGGGGGGATTCCTCTGTCATAGCCCTCTTCTCTACCTATCCCTTTGTCATGTAGCAGAATTTGCATGATGATGCTCTGCCACATCATTGATGGGTGACCATTACTGGGCACTACTGTGCCATCACACTTGGGGAAAGAATGCCATTGTAAGGTCTTAGGTCATGACACTACACCTGAACTTATGTTAAGCACCTATTTGCCAGCAGAGCAACTTGTAGGATGAGTACCAAAAAGCAATTTTAATCAAGACAAGAGCAATTAACAAGATTTGTTAGGAACAACTCAAATAATGACATTTAACTGTAATAGATTAGCTAGGGGAAGCAACATGCTGACTACATTCTTGTGTGGGCTCATTACCTTGATTGTAGTTATCTTGCAACTTCTTAATATTTGAACTTCTTAATATTTAGGGTTGGGATTCTTCCTTCACATCCTCGATTGTAAAGTTTCAAGTACTTTAACATTTACACAGATTTGGATTCCTTTCCACATATGTGTTAAGTGGCAGAAACTGGATGAGATGCCAATACACAATAAACATCAGTGCACGGGTGAGAAAAAAATTAAATGGTGGGATGAGATATGAGTTGACTTAGATCATCTATTAGGAATGCCACATTTGCTCCTTACTGCAATAAAGTGCAATAGTTACGTCATTTTAATGACCACAAAGTAAGAGCTTTAAGAAAATATAAAGTTAGCTTCCTAGAAGAGTATACTAGAGTAGGCATTAACAAAATAATATAAAGGATTACAAATAACATGAAGGGTAATGTGTACAGAGACTCAAAATTTGAAAATATAGCTGAAAAGCTGGGCATATAAAAGAGAACCATATTGGTTAAACAGCACCTTTTTGTCATTTTGTTTAAAAGAATGTGCTGTTAACTTCAAATATACAATCTGATATTCCTTCAGTCCACAAAAGAAACATTTGCATCTTCTATGCTTTCTTTCTTACTTTTTTTGCAAGTGAGAAACATACTAGTGCAAGACTCAAGCACTGTGCAAAACCTGCCTTTATTTAGTCTGAGTATTTATACCCAGAATTTACCAAACTCTTCCTTTTAAAATCCCCTTTCCTGGATTTAATCACCATAGAATTTTACTTGTACACTCTTGCAAACCAAGTTCGCCACTGCATTTATACAGTTTGAGAATGTGTATGGGTTAACAATATACCATGATCTGGACCTGATCGGAGGGCTGCTTCTTATAATACCTTTTTGTACTTGGCCTTGCATCAGTTGCAAAATGCAATGGTACAACTGCATTTAAATCACCTTTTTTCTTGGCAAACTAGACAGAAGAGTATTGGGCTCTTGCATCAAAACAGTTTACTAAAGAAAAGAGCAATTTCAATGCAATGCATGCATGCCCTTTAAAACTGATGCCTGGCATGTGCAATTTGTACACTGGTATCTGTACTCCAGTACAAAAGGTACTGTAAGACGTGGCCTTGAATTACATGGATATAATGAAAAACTGACCTTGTGCATGCATGAAATGCACTTCCTGTTTACAGGTTTATCTATACCCTCATGTGGATCACTGCCATATTTCGTTCAGGGCTAGTTCACGCTTCACATGTTTCCTACATGGGGGTAATCTCCATGTGTGTTCACTGTGACATTTTAAGGGTGGCAGGAGTGCTAATTTTGGGCAGTGCATAAGTACACAGCAAGAGCCCTATTTGCGAACACAGCCAAAAAAAGAACAAATACTAGAGTGTACATGCATTCGCCCACATGAACATCAGCTCCATGAAGGAAAAATGTAACACATGAAAAGCCCCTCAATTTGCACGACTCAAAGCAATTTTGTCTCCTCTTCTTCCACCTTGATTTGAGGCCAAGGCAGCAACCATATGCTGCAGTGCCTGGTATGCCCCTTCTTCTCCATCTTAGACTAAAAAGTTGTTGTTTCCACATTCCAAGAATTGTAAAATAAAGACAATTAGGCAAGGAAGTGAACCTGCAGAATTGCAATAATGATCACAAAGGGAAGGACCACAGCTCATTGGCAGAGCATATGCTTTGCATGGCTAAAGGTCCCATTCGTAGTCCCTGCCTTCTCTGGTTAAAGACTCAGATAGCAAGTGCTGGCCTTAGACCATCTCAGGCCTTGGAGAGCTGCTGCCAGTGAAGAGTAGACAACACTGGCCTGGGTGGACCAGTCGCCTGACTTAGTATAAGGCAGCTTCATGTGTTCCTATTAAATAAAGTACAAAAGGATGTGCAAAGGTAATGTCATGGCACACTGCAGACAGACTTTCAGACTCACTCACACTCACCAACCCGAAATGGAAAATGCATCAATATGTCATCTTTTGCCATTAAGGACACTCTTGTTCAGCTTAAACAAGACAAAAGTGTTTCTTAGATAAGAGTACTGGGAACATGCCTCTGAAGGTAGAAGTATGTAGGAGGTCACCTCTCTGAAGATTTTAATAAAGCAGCCTTCATGTCAATGCATTAAGGAGACACACAGAGCCATTTTTTTTTGTCTATACCTTACTACTAATGATCTATAGTACAAATGTTCAGCCAGTCATACCTCTGGGGTGCATGGTTTAGAGCAATGCATATACCTGCTGGATGTCTGTTGTGGGAGGGGGAATATTTTTGGTACAGAATGTGGCTGTCTTCAGACAGTTTCTGCCCTTTCAGTTAGTCCTAGGTAGGCAAGGAAGGAGTGCTTCGGCGAACAGTCACCCAGACATACAGTCTGTGGCCTGGGTGGATGGAATGTGGTATCAAAGTGGTTCTTGGGGAAAAACATGGTTAAGGGAATGAGGTGGGCAAACTCAGAGTTTCGATACTTGTCAAAACACAGGGAAGTGCCATTGACGGCCAAGGCCTTAAGTGCCACATTTGACTCGGCCCCTCCGCCGTGAGCAGCCGACATGGCCACTGTCTGCAGAGCCTGGGAAGCTGACATCACTGAGAGAGGCGATAAGAGGCTTCGGGAACTGTTGGCAGCAAGAAGAGGACTCGCTTCCTTGGAGCTGGCCCCCTGGCCCTTCTTCTCCTCTTCGGAGTAGTCCCCATTTTGGTGTTTCTTCACGTGGCGGCTGAAGACAAATGGGTGGGTGGTCTTGAAGAGGCACTCTTCGCAGCTGAAAGTCTGGCGCGGAGCATGCTTGAGCTTCTTGTGCAGGTTGAGATTGTCTTTGCGTTTGCAGCTGTAGCTGCACTGGTCACAGTGAAAAGGGCGCTCCCCAGTGTGTACACGCACGTGCTCTATCAGCTTGTTGGCTGTCTTTGAAAGATAGCCACACTGGTCACATTTGTAATGGTTGCCAAGGCGATGCTCCCGGATGTGCATTTCCAGCTCCAGCTGATTGGCTTTCACTGCCTGGCAGATCCGGCACTTGTACTCCATTTTATAGTGGGTCTTCAAATGGCATTCCATTGCTGCTGGACGGTTTGTGGAGTAAATACAGAATGGGCACCTATCAAAAACCAAAGAAATGTCGACAGTTGATTCTAGGTAAACTACCATGTTCTGTTTCACTAATTTCATTTCAGACAATCAAGATATGTGAACATTCTCGCTGTAAGAATGTGGTGTGCTTCGTTTAGTACAGAGACACAAACTTAGTTTAAGGCTGTTTAAAACATAAAAGGACTGAATACCAAATTCTTTGAAGTGAAACATTATGGGCTCTTTTGCCTCTCCCACAGACAACCTTGATCCAAAGCAAGGGTGATCTGCAATGCGAATGTCAATTCCAATCTCGACACTTATCCAGGTTCTATGGAATTTGATGGCTGCATGATGTGACAGGGACAATAAGTTCAATCAGAGACAAATAACCATATGCAACACTTTGTTTTCCATAACCGAACCTGGTAAGGGTTGAGCTTTGTCAGGAAGATGCCACTATGGGGTATCAGCAATTCCAATCTGCCTGTCTCTTAAAACATGTCACTCATACATGTAAGGTTGTGTTGAGCATTTTAAGTTGAAAGGTGATGCAGATGTTTTATAAATAAAGTGAGAAATAGCATTGCCATCAGCCGGCGGTAGTCTTGGGGGGGGGGGGCATCAGCACAAACCAAATTATGTCACTTTCAGGGAAAACCTCCAAAAGAGTTTCTGGTGATTCTTAATAATAGAGTGACATCAATTCTGGGTTCCCCCCTGAACTGACGCAAGACCATCGCACCGATGGCCATTTTTAAATGTATTTCTCTCCCACCAGCCACCAGGGTGGCAGTGGGTAAGAGTGGGATTGCCAGCAGGAGGTCTCCCCCCATAGCAGGACACCTGGAAACCCTAGTGAGAACTAGTTTCCAAGGTTTAAAATCCAAAGATGGATCTCACAATTTAATCTTGTTTCAGCTCTCAGTAAGAAGCAAAACCTCCCCTAAATAATCAGCATGTCTTGGCACTATGCCAAAAGCGTTGGAGTCAATTAATCGCAAGATGCACCCTTTTGAAACCAAGCATCAAGTGCACGGTTCTGAAGGAGGCCCAAGCTTCATGCCCTTCAAAATTTAACACAAGGAAGAAGAGTCAAAATAGAAGCAGGGATAGGTAACTTTACGAAGAATTATGCTTCAGCAATCATCTTCTTTCTGAGTGCCACCAACCAACTGATTTAGTGGGGCTTTAGCAAACCAAGCCAACAAAAAGGTAACAGCAACAGGGTTGCAGCAATTGCTCTTAATTTCTGAGGTATGGAATCTGGATATGAAGAATGTGCAAAAAAGATATACTTTGATCCAGTGATCTCCTACATACGAGGGAGCTCCAGAGCTTAAACAGAGCTCCCATACCCATAAGAACTGTTCATTTCAAAGGTAGAACCATACATGCATCACTTCGGGTGCCAAACTGCCCTTTCACTGTATTGATGGGAACAGCTTCCACATACACGAGTTTCATGTGTTCATTTGAATGCATACGAGTTTCCAGGCAAAATTGTTAATTTTTGCAATTTATTGGGTTGGATCCCACAATCTGCAGATGCAAGGGTACAAAATCACTTTTTCGGTTTCTTCCACCTCACTCCCTTCCCCCGCCCCACTGCAGCCTCCTGACCTGTGTAGCTATTAGTCCAGGTGGGTCCTCAATTCCGGAAATAAACTTTCCCAGGGCCGGTAAGAAGTGCTGGAAGGAGGGGAATGTGGGAAAGATCTGCAATGAGTGTGAGATCCAACTCCCAATTTTCATTTTTAATCATGATACAGATAATTGTTTTAAAGATCTACGTAGAAGGAGTAAAAACTGCCTGACTGTAAAGAGCTGCTTTAGCTGCAGAGGCCCTAGTGGAGACATATTCATCTGCAAACTAAAGCTGTCTGCATTTGTGTCAACCACCGTTCAGTACAGTGATTACTCTGCCAGGGGGGACTAGAGTTTAGGCAGCCAATGAAAGTTAAAAACACTCTTCAGACCAAACATCCTAGACTTTGACTCTTCAACCAAAATGAATCCCCTCCAGGTTTACTTCTCTGTTTCTGCGCCCGCAATATTTGAGGTACTGAACACAGTAAAAATTTGTGTACTTGCTTTCCTTACTTGAGCCCACCAGTGGGGACAGTGTGGCATTTCTTGTGCTCCAGTAATTGCTCAGGAGTCTTCATGAACTTGTGGCACACATCACATTCAAACATCCGTGTGATCAGGTGGATTTGCAAATGGCGCTCAAACATGTTTTTTGTTTTGCAGACAAAGTTACAGAAAACACATTCAAAACCTGCAAAGGGAAACCACAGACACTATTACCTAACTCACACATCTCAGCCTTGAGCAAGTGGAGGCTGCGACTTTGCATCTATTTAGCCAGCTTTTTACCTTTTTCTGACTTCTCTTCCGTGCTTAATAAGGTCTGGCTACCAGGCACTACAGAAATAACTAACAGGTTGTTTGAACTCTTGGGTTTGGGGCTGATCTCGACATCTTCTTTGCTGTTGGCAGAATCACTAAGTGCTGACAGGGAGGAAGAAGAAGGACTGTTTGAGTCACTGGGTGTCTTCCTCTCTTCACCTAGGCAGGGGGGAAAAAACAAACAAATCAGCCTAAAGCATTAACTTGTTTATTAGTATCAGGTTCATGTCCTCATCTACCGAGACAAACTTCTCACTCCTGTTTTGCCTTAACATTTTTCAGAGGAGACATCCCTGCTGCGGATGTCTCTGTGGACTTGTCATGCATTCTTAGTTTCAATCACCTGTAGCCATGTAACTCTTACTAGACTTGGGCAATGAGAGTTTTTTTTTTTTAATCAAGATAAAATCCATGCAATAATGCGAAAGTGAGCAAGGGTTCATTACACATCTATAACAAAGTGGCTAATGTTATATCATGGGTAGGTGTGAATTTGTTGAAATTCACTTAGTGAATGGTATTGTTATTTTAACATGATCCCTTAAGGTAAAAGCCTTTGCTTTAGCTTCACTTTTCAGTCCTGTTGTTGGTTGTTGGATGTGGCTGGTTATGGTCTAACAGGGCCCTGACCAGGCCTACCTTATGTTCTAGTGAAGTTCTGTTCTGGTATTGGGTGCTATGGAGTTATTACAGCTACTTTTTTCTTTCCTAACAAAATTCTTCAGAGAAGCTGCTTTTGCTTGAGACATTAACAAGCCTAAAAGTTTAACATGTCTAAAATACAGGTCTGTAGGACTGCGTGGCTTTGGAAATCTGCATTGTGTGTACCATTTAGGGAAACCTGCTTCATCATGCTCTGGGTGTTTGGGGTCAGTGTGTTTTGTGGGCAGAGATCATGGATATGTTTGTGTTGGGTGGACCTCTTTCCACTCTGGATCATGGGATTCCGTTTCATTTAAGAGGCCCCAAAAGGAACTTCATTTCAGATAGGCAGGGGTTCTCTATTATTTCACTGATAGCAGGAAGGCAAAGTCTAGACTAAAGCTTCTTCTTGGGTTCTGCCCTTTCTGAAATTCCCATATCCCTTTCTACCTAAAATGCATCTTTTCTGGGCACTGCCAATAGCTGGGGGAGAAGGGGGAGCCAGCACTGGTCTGGTGTATTATGACAATGAGTTTACAACTCAGCACTATTTGTTTCCATTTATGAGAACATGCAAAGAATCCGGGATGATTCTTACACTACAGCATACAGGGCATTTGCAAAGGCAAGCACACTCTGGAAATGTGAAGAGGTGTCTGGTGAGTTTATTCTCTTATCTAATGGAAACAATTAACACTCCAAACACTTCACACAACACCCATGGCTATTTAAGGGTCACATTAAATTTTAAAAAAAGGAAACAACGCTAAATTATGCAATTCTAACACATGAATGTTTATACCAATTTGCCCCCTAATTATGCACAAGAGTTTTGTACCAACAGAATTTTACCAAGCCAGGGGGTCCAACTGTGCTGACACCAACAACAAAATTCAGGGGGAAAGTTGGGAAGCATAAGAACATAAGAGAAGCCAATGTTGGATCAGGCCAATGGCCCATCCAGTCCAACACTCTGTCACACAGTGGCCAAGAATACCAGGTGCCATCAGGAGGTCCATCAGTCGGGCCAGGACACTAGAAGCCTTCCCATCCCCCCCCCCAAGCACCAAGAATACAATGCATTACTTGCCCCAGACTGAAAGTTCCTATCTATACGTTATCTATATATCTATATCTATCTGCTCCATATGCTTATCTATGGCAGCATGAGCCAACTGCAGACGCAGAGATCAGTTATCACCTGCATGCTTGGTGGTGACGTGAGCCTTCATCTCTGACTCCTCCATGGTAACAAAATCACAGGCTGTGCAGCAAATAGAAAACATCCACTGTTCTTTATCCACATGAAGCGACATATGACTGACAAACTGGACATTCATCTCGGTTTCAAATCCACACACATGACAACTGGAGACAGGAGAGAGTTAGAAAAATTAAGGAAAAGCCCTCTCTTGGATACAGGCACACACACACACCATGTCTCTTCATTCAACCTGACAAACTCCTGGTTTTACAAACTTTGTCTTCTCCATGCTGCTTAAATGGCACTGGGGTATTCTTTTTGCCTGCCGAACTGCTTCTGAACTGACAGCTCTGCCAAGCTGATTAAGGGCTAGCACAAGGCAACAATCCCGAACACGCTATAATGATGCTAAATAATCATAAAGTTAATTAAAAACTACAGGTTCCAGATGCTGCACATCACCTAACCGATTCCTTAGGGCAATAAGATGTGCTGCAGCTTTGCCAAGATGTTTAGTCAGGCTGCTACGTGGACAAATGGAGAGTTTGCCTGCACACTCAATGAGCTCCCAAGCCTTGGAAACAGTCCCACATCAGGTTTGGGTCTTGTGTAGAAATGCCCGGCCTTCTCAGCACCAGCGAGCCAGAATGGGCTCAGGATTTCTTCTGCCTGACTGGGCAAAAGCACTGATCAGCCATGCAGACACAAGCGGTACCGAGAAACATCTTGCAAACAGCTCATAGTCCAACCGGTGAAAAACAGTCTATAGCTCACTTTCTTTTCGGAACCTCTCAACGGTTTGAAACCATTGTTATTTTTGAAATGTCAGAACACTCTCAAATATGGCTAGTCAGGTAATACTCATACCATACAAGTGGACCTGTGATATCCGAAGCAGAGAGGTGGCTGTTGTGTGAGCAGCTGTTTTGGGCAGCCACTTGTATGCCGGGCCAGCCACTTCACTATGCTGCTGCACACCAGTACTGTGGTCCCCACGGCTCTGTATGGCAAGGTGCTATGCATGAATACACATGTGGGGTGGCCTGTGCATAATTCGGATTTCAAGTGGCCACTACAACAGTTACTTCTTTGTTTGCACGGGTCCTTTTCACAGAGTGGATTGAGACCATTAAATGAAGTGGTGAGGCCCTCTGGCAACGGCTTGAGTGAGTGTTCTGACACAGCCAAGAGGTAAGATCTTAGCTCACCACACTTTGATTTAATGCATCTTTCAAAAGGGGTTCTAGAAGATTTCACCCATTCAGCCAGCCATTCATAGAGAGTGGCTACGATCCCGGCCAGGCCAGTCTCTCAGTCGACAACAGGTCAATCCTAAACAGTTACATCTTTCTAAGTTCACTTAAGTCAATGGGCTTAGAAGGATGTAACTCTGCTTAGGATTTCCCTACCAGTCATTCCAGTTCTCAAAAGGGAAGATGATGCAAGGCACATGCATATAGTGCTTGGGGAATTCAGGTACGGGACAGAAAATGTAGCAAGCAGAAAGCAGAATTTCTGGCAGCTGAATCAAGACACAGAAGTATAATTATGATTTCTTCCAGTTTTTAGGTGCATGTAACATTGAGGATTTATTGTAAAATCTTTATTAATCTGATCTTGGTTCTCAACACTTTGAGGCTACGCAGCTTTGCTGCTTTAACAGATTCTCACTTCTGCATTTCATACCCCCCTTTCTTCTAGGAGCTCAGAGTGGCATACACAGGGTTCCCTCCTCCTTCCATTTAATTACATGACTTGATTCACATGTCGATTAATTTACTGTTTAGATACATGGCTTTGCTTGGCATTCCAGAGATCAATTCTGCACTGGCCACAGAGCCGGGTTAGGCTGTATGCAGTCTCAAGTGTGCTTCCTCAGAAGCAAGGCACAATCAGTTTAGTTTGGAAAACTCCCAGGAAAGCAAGAGCATGACTGCATCCGCATACAGCTTGTCCTGGTGACCCGGCCCCCACAAGCCAGGAGCTCCAAACACACCATAACTGCTGCTGGTGATCAGGGAGCAGCACTGGGGCCGATTGCATTTCACCAGTAATAAAGAAAAGGAAGATATCAGCAGGTATTGCCATTTGGACTAGGTTTTGGGAGACTCAAGTCCCAGCTCATCTAAAGTCTGTTTCAAGTGAGCCAAACTCAGTTCCCCATCTGTCCGCCTCTCTCCGCTGGGGAAAACAGTCTGCCATTGGAAGTAGCTCACTCAGAGCACAGTTGGGGCACAGGCAAGCATCACCCCTGCTGAGGGTGAACCCTACTTAAGAAGACAGGGCAGCTGGTAGAGAGAGGCTGCATTAGGGATTGCTGAAGCCACAGAGCAGCTGGTTCCCTACAGAGAGTGGTTCAGTATAAGAGTTATGCTTGTGCTAGAAAGTCAAATGGTTCATGATGTAGTATCATAACAATGGGGAGTGGTGACTAAAGTGTTTTTTAGTGTGGTAGTGATGAGAGATGCTACTAATTCTGGACATTTGTTTCAATTGCTTCATCAAAGAACTGCTTGCATACGAATAAGGGAACAGACATTCTTCAGACATGCCAACCGCATGCCATGGGCGCACATGGCATGGCTGTACGAATGACCCTGGAGGTCCCTTCCAACTCTAGGATTCTACGATTCTAATATATGCATGTATTTACAACTCTGGTGTGCAGTGTTCATGTTCACATATACCGAGGTCCTATGGAAATGGTAAATAAGTGTGTTGCCCATATTTACACAACACGGTGAGTGTGCAGATCACAAATTTCCTGGATGTAGTGTGTTCCCATTATGTGCGGTTGGTGGGCTCCTAGTATACACAATGATAATGTCTGAAAAGGACTTATGTGTTAGATTATCTGATATTGACCACACCTGCAGCCACAGCTAGAGCTTCTGAAGGTCCCTCTGCCTCTGAACTCCTCCTAAGAAGAAGTGTGAAATTTCACAGAGCATGGAGGGATTGTGAGGCCTGCCACAGCTATTTTGGTGTCGCTGCTGGAGTCAAATGCAGGTAAGCCAAGAACACCTGTCAGTCTCTGCGTCAGGAGCAAACAGGACAGAGCTTGTTCTTTGTTTTGAAAACACAGGCAGGCAGCAAAGGCAGCTGGAGCCTGGTCTCTGGGCTTGGCTTTCAACAGGGTCCTCACCTGTAGTAATAAGGGTGCTTCTTTCCATCACTGCCTTCGGAAGTGACAGCGCTGACAATGTCCTCAGTGTCTGTACTCACCAGCTTCACGGAATGGACAGTCAGGTGCTGGTTCAGGTTAGCACGGCACTTAGCAGCATAGGGGCACAAATGGCATTTGTATTTTCTCTCTTCTGGAAAAAAACGTTAAGAACTTGAGTCTAAGTTGCACATGCATTTACAGTGCAGCCTGTGCAGCGTTCACTCCGGTCCAAACCCACTGGTTCCAATGGATACAGACTGGAGTAATTCTGCAAAGGATTGCACTGTAGCTCAATCTTCCATGAAGAGGCTCAGGTAGTTTACACTGTGGATCTCTACACAGAGGGGGGGGGGAAACAAGATAAATGCACAAGCATTGCCATGCTAAGACACTTTTTAAAATGTCATTTCTAATACAGAAATATATGCTTTTGGGAGGGAAAAATCCTTGGATCCTACAAAATCATTCCAAACAACTCTGGGCACAATCCAGCTTAAACTGAATACAATTTTGAACCCCACCAACTTCAATGAGAGGCAGTTAAAGCTCTCCCATCGAAACCCGAGGCTTAAGAGACCTTAGATTTGGTTAAGTCACTGCCACTGTTTAACATTTCAAAAACTTATATGTCAGCAACTTCATGGGAAATGTTTAGATTGCACATTATACTGTAAAACCATGACTACAGATGAAATGCTACCTTTTATTAGACTAATTGTTTAACTATATCCCTCTGGCTTTGAAAGCTTGCAACCCTTTAAAACTATTCGGCTCAGCAAGAGCTTCCATTTCACTTTTCACACGTTCCCCACATATTGTGGGAAAGCGCCAAGCACCTAGGCCTTGAAAATAATTGCAGGAATAAAAGAATTTGTACAAGGAGCTTAGCAGGCTCTCAGAACAGTAAATACAATCCAGTTAAGGTGCCTGTGATACATTTTGTGTTGCAACACCAGTGTACTTGTGTTGGCTAACAATACTCAAAAGAGTCATGTCTTGGGAGAGATCTGTGTGAAAGTACAGTGTTTAATTGTTTTGCAGCAAAACCTGGCCATAAAAGGATGCAGTTAATAAAGTGAAGCCCTTCTAAGGGTGATGAGCATCCCAGTTCTCAGTACCGCTTCAAGTAGGCTGTCTACCCTTTCTGATATTTAGACGTGCTAAACAAACATTGATTCATTTGTCACATTATTAACTTTTCAGAAATACAACTGTTCTGGGACTTGGGGGTGAAGGTGTGATGTTCTTGATGACATCACAAAGGGCCAGCCAGTCAGCACCATGCATACCCAGCCACTGCTGAAACCTTGCAAAGCTATTTTTTCAGTGCTTGCTCCTGGAAAGGAAGAGTAGAGGACTGGGCTGAACACAGCAAGAGTGCTTCTAGGTGGGTTCACTGCTTTATACATGTTTTGCTTGTCTTTTCTCTACAACATGAAATTTTTTTTTGATTTATACATGTGTGGCTTGTCTTTGCCCTACAACATTAAAGGCTGAACTTACCACACAGTTCTAAAATTTAAAAATTATTTGTACTAACTCTTGGCACCTGAACTGGTGACTCACAGTAGGAATAGCCTGACTTCATGTTCAGAGACTGCAAATCTACAGACGCGCAGAATTTGTATTTTAGCCAATATCTCTGGATTCTCCAAGGACTCTCTTGTGGAAATTAGTAATGCAGTCTGAGGGCTGAACTAAATTAGACAATTTTTAAATGTCAGGTCTGGGCTCCCCATTTTCCTGAACTGAAATAGCCCCATTAGGGAGCTGCATGGGTACCGATGGGCTAAATCTGCAGCCCCTCCCTCCAATGGGGCAAATAGTGCCACCTGGGGCCACTTCAAATCAGAAACACAGCATGGTGGAGGCTGTTGGGACCTGTGAGCTCCTAGCAGTGTGACATGTGGCTGATGGACCTGACTCTTGCCTAACTGCACCATTAAAATCAATGTAGCTAAATCAGTTTAAATTCAAATATTATAGGTTTCACAGGTTTGTAGATTAACTCTAAAAAATTACTACTAAAGAAAAGCTTATTTTTTCCTTAATGCAATATGGCTATGCTAGAGACTGCAAAAGTGACTGAAACACTAAAAACAAAACAAAAAATCAATTTTAGCTATAACTATAAAGCATTATTCTACAATAAATCCTTCAGGATCTTTCATTGGACAGAGAGACCCAGAGCAAAATGGGATCATCTATGGTCATATAATCACATTTGGTATTTTGTAACAGTTCCTCTGAGACAGAAAAGTGTGCAAGACTGAGAATGACTTGAATTAGCTGACCTCAGTACTAAATCTGCTCACTTTCCTCTAGAGAAAAGTTATATTACTAAGTATTTACCATGGCATATAGTCAGACTTCAGCAGAGCCATGGTGCTATTTCTGAACTTCAATTTTCCCCCTGTATTTTTGGACTGCTTTTTGCACATCTACTGATTGCACTAACTTTGTTGGCAAATCTAGTTGAGTGTTACCGTGAATGTCAGGCCAGACTGTCTGTGAAGGCACCTTTAAGGAACAGATCAATGGGGAGAGAAGCATCCTCCAATTATCCTATTTATTTTTTTTTTGGACAAAAACAAGTAGAGCAAATGAAGCCTAACTCTTTTCATAGGATCAAACTCTAGTTTAACATGAATGTTAAGCAGCCCAATTCAGCAAGGGCAATCTAGGAACCACACCTGGCAGTGCAACTCACAACCAGCAGGATGATGCAACACATGTGCATCAATTAGACAACACCAAATTAAGAAAGATTGACATTATCATCTCCATTAGACATAGAACTGCATCCAGGAATTCCCCCCCCCCAAATTAGCAATATTGTACAACAGCATCTTTACACCTATAATCCAAGTTTTTAGCCATTTTGGGTCCTAGTCAGCAACTAGCTTTCCTACAGGGTTACTTGGAGAAGTGAGACAGGAGAGTTGGTGCCAGTCAACTTCTGCCTCAACCTTCTAGACTGGTCTGATAGTCACCACGGAGACGGGGCCAGTCAGCAGTCCTCAGGAAGACATTGTGGGAACATACTCTCTACTTGCTTTTGTTTAGGGCCTTTCACTAAAGCAGATCACAGGTGCGTTTTAGCTATGGAGTTTAGCTAGAATCCCATAGGCTTGGTTCAACACAAATATGGTCTGGTGCTATGTAATAAGCCTGGAACGAGCCTTGGGCTTGCCAGCTACCTTTCTACCTTCCCCCTCCCTTGCGGCATTTCTTTTCCTCCCTTCCTGGTTACTGGCGAAATTATAGCTCTCAACGGGCAAATTATGGTTTGTGCTTGCCCTCCAAAGCAGAATTGCAAACAAGGATCAAATCATAGGTTGTAGTTCGGATCTGCAGGGCAAGCTCAAATCAAACACAAACCATATTCAGTTTGTCAGTTTGGATTGAACAGCAAGCTGTGAGTTGCCACAAACCAGTAAGGGAAGGGTAGAATCCCAGTGGACAGGGGGAAGCAGGAATAGGAAGGAGAAGCAGGGAGTGTGTAAACCTGAGTCTCAGTCCCGGCTCATTCCTGTCATGCCACAATCCACTTTTTTTTAATGCAAAGAAATGTTTCTTATTCCATGAAAAATACTGAAACTGCCCAACACTACTATTAAAAAAAAAAAAGTGTTACCTGTGTGCAGGGAGAGATGTCGGGACAACGTCTGCTGTCGGCCAAACACTTTTCCACACACATCACAGGGAAAGAGCTGGTCATTGAATTTCTGAGATGGCAACCCATTTCCAGCCTCCAGCCCTATCTTCTCTGTTTCTAGTCCCCAAAAAAGGAGAAAATACAATTCTAATATTAACAACTCAGAAGCATTCTTGGATTCCATGCTATGGGTGAATATGGATTCCATTTGTTACTTGTCATGGGCAATACAATAATGCTGTCCCACAGTTCATGACACATGGGTGTGATCCTTTGAGCCACAGACTGAACTAAATGAAAGACTTCTCTGTTAGTATTCCCATATTACACACATCACATTAATATGAATTTCTTGTTCAGACTGAACAGGAACCTCTTGAGAAATCATTTAAAGGGCTAGGCTACAAAGAACTCTATAAAGTAGCAAAGTAAGCTAGGAAGAATAATTTCAAATCCATCCACAAGAATGCTATCACAGGTATTTTACTTTACGTTTATCCAGATTTAGGTCCCTGCCACACGGCAGAAAAAATCACGGGCAAAGTGCGGCTAATCAGAGCCGCACCAAAAGAAACACATGGCGGTGGGATCATACAGATCCCCTGAGCTGCTGCGGCGTTGCTCCCCGGCACAATTAGATGCCAGGGAGGAAGCCACCGACCGGAGACCGAGGCAGCCGTCTGCACATGTGTGCGCATGCGCAGTTCGGCCAGGAGCCTCAGATGCGCCGGCAGAAGGACGCGCCGGCAATCCCACAGCTGCGCTTGCCGCGGCCTTTCTGGTAAATCCACCTCTAGGGGTGGTTCTTTTTTGCAGCGGGTTTTTGGCCTGAAGGGCCGGATCGGGGACGGGTACGCGCCACATCCCAGATGTTGCGGTGAGATCGCGCCCGTTTGCTGCGCCCCTGATCCGTCCCTCTCCCGGCCCAAAACCTTCCGTGTGACCGGGGCATAAGATCCTCCTTTTCTGACAACTTCAGATAAACTGGAGGATCTCAGTCTGTATGCACTTGCACATACATCTTTTTTCACGTTAATTTTTACTCCCATAATAACATAAGAACCCTGCTGAATCAGAGCAAAGACACATCTAGTCAAGCATTTTGTCTCCTACAGGAGTCAACCAGATGCCACAGAATACACACAAGCAGGGACACAAAAGCCAAAGCATCCACCTATTATTACCCCATAGCAACTGGTATACAGAGGTATACTGCCTTTGAACATGCAGGTGTTATTTAACCATCATGGCTACTGATGAACCTGCTCTCCAGAAATTTGTCTTTCTCATTAGCCTCTTCTTGGCTCCGATCGCACCACTGAGGAACTGCGGGCGGGAAGCGAGGCTGTTTGCCCCGGGGCGAACTGATGCGCGTTTACGCGATCAGACTTCCACCCACCCCACAGTTCCCTATGCTACTGACGTTTCCCTGGTGGATTTTTTGTGCCGCTCTTACGGTGCAACGAGACGCCCCGCCAACAATTCTGGGACGCCAGACAGATGTGTCTGTCTGATCGCATCCCTTTAATCCGCGGGGGAATCGTTTGCCTGCCGCAGCTTCCGCTCCATATGATCGCAGCCCTTGTTTAGCTAACTGATGAATACAAGAAAAGTAATACTAGTGAGTTCATTTTTACAGTACATACATTTCTATTGAATTTTAGCCATTCCTACTGTCCCGTTGTTTACTTCCCTCCAAATAATGTCCAACAAAATGTTGTAGCTGTCTCATAGTTCTTTGCACTGAGTATGATGCATTGAACATCTGAAATACAGTACTTCAGGAGGACAAAAAGTCAATTTCATAGCTATCTGCAGTTTTCTCTAGCACTGGGGTGCTTGGAACTACTGCTGAATGTTCAAACACTTATTACATCAGATTTAACACTATGCTACTAGTGGTAAGGTGCAAACCATAGAGTGGGAGATTTACTTTCCAAGCTAGTTCACGCAGGAAACCAATGGTTCTGCTGGTGTGAATTCAGTCAATCACAGTTATTATTACTTTGCTCTTAACACCTACAAAAGGAGTTCTGTTTCAGGATATCAGTAGTTATGGCTCAGTCTGTGCATTCACTTCATATCAGAAAATGTGTAAAGCTGAGGGATTTAAGCCATAAAATAACAGAGGAAGGCAAAACGGAATGAGGGAAATTACTGATCTGTGAATCTGCTTTTCTAAAGTAATCATTTATAGACTCATAGATTTTGAAGCCAAGGAGGTAACCATTTATTGTAATCACACCTGACATTCTGCTTAAAAACTGTAGTAAAAATTCACATAGTAATTCCTGCATCTAGCCCATAAGTTCTGGTTCAGTTGCAGTCTATCTTGGGGAAAGAGAAGGATGCTAACTTGATCAGCAATGAAAACCACCACAACCAACAGCTTGCTCACTCTGTGGGTGTGATCACATGAGCAGTTTGACCCGACATAGCCATCCCTCTCCTCTGGGCCAAATAGGCATGATCAAATGTGCACATCTGGCTCCTGTGCCCAGTTGTTCGTATCTCATGCTAAAATGACTCCCACGTGGATTAAACAGCCACCAGCAAATTCCGGTGGCTACCTCGGCAAAGTGCACATAAATGAGGTAGTTACAGACTACATTGCACATTGGACCCCTTCAGACAGTTCAGTCACACACACTTCCTGAGGCTTTGTCACAAAAGTCACCAGATACACAAAGATCTGACAAACTTGTAAAGGGGAGTTCAAAACCTGGAGCACATATTTTCCCATTAATTCCACGATCTTCCATTTTGTGACTTCCTACAGATAAAATAATACACCCCAAAATCTAGATGTCGTGTATATTTATGAACAGTCTCTTCAAGAACACTAATAAAAATCATTTTCAAAAGAGAAGGTACAAAAATTCTCTGACCAGCTTGACAAATATGTGGCCTAGGCCCACACTGCTTAGGCTCTATCTATCAATCTAAACACAGGCAACCAGACATATGGGGGGGGGGGCACCAGGACAACCTTCTGTTTTTGCTGCTTGCGTAAGACCAAAACAGTGGTTTCTAACTTCCTGGCAGCCCATACTATCTCATTGAGCCAGACTGGTGGATCACAAGCTTGTACAGGCAGGTACCACTGCTACAGCTCATAATGTACAAGTAAAGGGGTGTAGCAGCTACAATGTCAGATGAAGACCTGGGAAACAAGTTTCAAATCCCCGTTTGTCCACAAAGTTGACTGGAAAACCTTGGGACAGTCACTCTTTCTCAGACTAACTTATCTGACAGGAGTGGAGTGAAATATCAAAAGATGGCGATGGGAAACAATGGGTAAAATGAAGGAGTGGAGAACCACGAACACTATCCTGAGTCCCTTGAAAGGCAGACAGGCTAAACATTGGGTAAATAAATACAGCTATATGTAAAATGACCAGCATGTTCTTTGAACCATGGGAGTCAGGAAGCTTTACAGCAACAACTAGTGATGAATCTTATTAACCAGGATCTGGCCCCTCTCCATTCAATGTAATATACTATGAGGAACTGCTCTCCTTCCATTTATATAAAAATAGAAAATCTGGATAATCTGTCCATCAAGGAGTGCATATGTGAATTATTGTAATTAATTGAAGCAGATCGTGAAACCCAGCTCAAATGAGTGTCAGAGATCTATGCAGCCATCACAACACACTATTTATTGTGGGACACACCTCCCAGGAAAACCACAGTTCACACAGCACCTGGCACAACAAAACAACCAGCTTCAGCTTGACACTTGAAGAGTGCCCTCTGGGTGCTACCATTATCTGCTATTTGTTTTACAATAATATAAATTATCCTTTATGTGTGATTACTCACGCTTCTGCTAAATTAGCCCTTCTGTAAAGTTTAAAAGGCAGAAGGAGGGGAACCAGTTGAAGTATGTATCACACTTTTAACTTCCCTGAAATCAACTGCAAATCATTCTTTCAATTACTAGTCTTGAGTTCAAGACAACGGACATTTGACTCTGCAGCAATAATAGATGTTTTAGCAGAGCTTTCTGAGTACTTAATCAAAATAGTGCTTCAGAGGAGGAATATGTTAATGAATATGAGAAAATGTCAAGTGTATGCCAGTTCTTAAAGCTTGGCCACTACAAAACTGAATTAATTGCGATACAAAGCAAACAAGAAGACTCAATTAGAAGGCAATATGTCTCTTAACAATTCCCCTTAGCATCAGTTAATTGGTCCTCTTGTTATAGTAAAGTAGCTAACATCAGAAACATCACATTTCTTTTGTATAATTAGATAACAGTCAAAACTCCTTAGGAAACTGAAAATAACTATTTTCAGATTTTCCCAGAGGTGTTGAAACTAGACTTTTATTAAGCTTACTTTGCATCCATCTAGATCACAATATTATCCTTGCTTTAATTTTTTTAAACTGTCTACCACTCCGGTGCAACCTTCTGGGACTTGTTTTTCAAATATTCTGTAATTTGCTTTCTTGGCCAACTATGCTTTGACACATTCTCTGCAGTTCCTCATCTGGTTGTGTGGAAATGTGTCCTGATTCCCAAGATAAAATGTGCACCTTAGAATGCTTGCACATTGTTGGCCCACAAATCTCTCCACAGTTACTCTTCAGCATTTCCAAAGTACAAAGAATTCGTTTTTCTTAAGACAGACACATTTTAGCCAGTGCATTCTGTCCAGCAGAACAGATGGACAGGATAAGCTTCAGCCTAGTCTCTGCCATTCATGAGAAATGGTAAGTTACATGCCCTAATCAAGAGCTCTTTACGAACGTCAAGGCACTCAAAGACCTTGCACGTGCAGAATTTCCCTCTCATGCAATCGATGAAGCAGATTGGGCTTGCACAGTAATAACTGGATTTTAGAGCACAACCACCATTACAAAAATATTTTGTGCAAAAGTCTTATTTGACATCATTGAAAACTAAAATGTTCCATATATTTGTTAGGAAACCTGATCACACTTTCTATAATAACCAGTTTTGTGGCACCCTGGTAGTACTAAGAAGTATTACAGTATTCATTTCGTATCAGTTTCTTATGCAATTTCTTATGCAGTTTCTTATTCCAATCCAGACCACTTGTGTAGTGGAAACAAGCAAACTAAATTTGGTCTCATTCAACCCAAAA